CAATGAAGAAAAAAATCGAGGAAAGAAGAACAGGGTCCCAAACAGGCCGGCACCCAGCACGAAGCCCGAGAGTCCAACCCCGTCCTAGTCCGGCCACCCCGCCCCGGGGTCAGCTTGGCAGGGAAAGGGAGCCGGGTCTGGCGGGTGACCTGGGGGCCAGCCGCAGCCCTGACCCACCTCCAGCTCCGCGATGATGCGGTCCTCGTCGTCCTCGTCCTTGATGGCAGAGGCCATGATGGGTGGGGTGGAGGCCGGGCGGGCCACCTCGGACACCGTCCGGCGCAGCTTCACTTGGGGTTTTTGCACCTCCAGCTCCTCGGACTCGGCCTTCTGCAAGGCCCAGGCCCCGTCAAGCCCAGGCTCTGCCCCGCCTCCAGCATCAGCTCCCCTCCTAGGCTCCATGGGCTCTCGACCATCTCCCACCTGCCCTGGCTCCTCGTCCTCCCAGGGTGTCCCCTTCCCATGGGGAAGCCCAAGCCGGAAGCGGAGTCCCCGCTGGCCAGCTTCTTCTTTCCTGCCACTTCCTCTGAGAGAGGGGACCGCCCGGAGGATCTCTGGAGGCCCCTCAGGCATCCCCCTAACTCAGCCCCCTCGCCCCCTGCCCCAGGTGGGGTGGTACCTTGATGAAAGTCGAGTCCTTCTTGCTGGTGACCACAACCTCTCCGGTGCGTGTGGTGGTCAGGCCATGGGAGGAGGGGAAGCTCCGGCGGGGAGGCGGTGGCGGGGGTGACTTGGAGGGCTTCTCCGTGCGATACCGGGGCACCGTCAGCTCATCTGCAGGCAGCCAAGGGGCTGGAGGTCAGGGGACCTGTGCCACCGCTGACTCCAAGGGGCTAGACCAGGGGTCCTCAAACATTTTAAACAGAGGCCAGTTCACTGTCCCTCAAACTGTTGGAGGGCCGGACTATAGTTTATAAAAAAAACTATGAACAAATTCCTATGCACACTGCACATATCTTATTTTGAAGTGAAAAAACAAAATGGGAACAAATACAATATTTGTATTTGCATGTGGCCCGCGGGCCGTAGTTTGAGGACCCCTGGGCTAGACCTTGCTTCCTCCTCCTCCTCTCTTACCTCCCCCTGCAACCCAGCCCCAAGCCCCGTCACTCCTCCTCTAACGGCGCTCTCATCCCTCCATACTCCAAGTGCGGTGCACGGACCAGCAGCAGCGGAGCGCCCTGGAGCTTGTTAGAAATGCAGAAGCTCAGGCCCCTCCCAGAGTTGCTGGATCGGAAGCCAGATTCTGGCAGATCCTCAGGCGATGTCAGGTACACGTTGGAGTCTGAGAAATGCTGTTGTCCTTCACCTCTTCCCCCCCTGCTCCTCAGCCCCTGCCCTGGTCTGGACCTCTGTCCTTTTTCCATCAAGAGAGAACAATCCCTATTGCAAGAGCCTGCCCCTGCCCACCAGGCTCTCCCCCTGATTTTTCTGGTGGTGGGGACTGTTTCCAGGGCCAGGTGCAGAAGAGTCACTCACACCTGACACTCCTCTGCCTGTGATCCTCCGTGGCTCCCCATTACCCAAAACCACATGCCACCTCCCTGTCCCCGCACCCTCTGCACGTGCCAATCTTTCAGCCTCAGCTTGCCACTCCCTGGCCCGGACCCTGCTGGACCCTCCAGACATGTGCACACGCCGTTCCCTCTCCCGCATGCCCACGCTCACTGGCCAGGGAAGCACCTACATGTTTTCAAGGCTCCAATGGAAAGGGCCCTCCCATGGGAAGCCCTTGCTGCCCTCCCCGGGCTCCTCTGGGACTGCTCCACACCAGAGCTCACCTCCACTACTGCACTTAGCACCACATCCTACTTCTGCTTTACACACCAGCCTGGGACAGAGGACATGACCACACTGGGCTTAGTGCCCTCGTCTGTAAAATGGGAATAACCACCGTAACTGCCTCCTGGGGCCGTTGAAAAATTATAAGAATTAATATATAGGAAGCATTTGGGGCGGTTCTTGTCACATAGTAGGTGCCTGATAAACATCTATGTTAGTATCAGTCCCCCACTAAATTTTAAGCTCCTTAGAAGCAAGCAGTGTCTTATTCCTTATTCCCAGCACCTAGCGCACAGTAGGTGCTCGACAAATATGTGTGTGGCAGGAATGAATAAGTGAATGAGTGATGATTGCCATTTCTGGTTCAGATTTGTGCCTCCCCTGTGAGCTCACAGGCTGGGGTGGGGGGCCGGGAGCACAGGAACCATGTCTATATGGATCAGCGATGCACCCTATGTCAGCACAGCCTGGCTCAGGGCACGTGCTGGGTCTGCCTGGACTTGCTCCTCCTCCCTGCGTGGTCCCCTCAGCAGCAGTCAGGCCAATGGGGAAAGCCCTGGACGGGCCCAGCTCTAACCCAGACTCTGCGCCTCCCTTCAGTGGCTGAGGGTCAGGCTGCTGATGTCCCAGCACCTCCCTTCTCCAACAGCCTGATCACAAAGATTCTCACTCCCCCGTGCTTCCCCCATCAACCTGAGATCTTCGGAAGATGGGGCTTCCCTTCTGTGGGCTCCTCACCCGCCCCTATGTTCCCCCGTACCTGAGCCCCTCCTTCCACTGGGCTCCGTTCGGGGGGCTGCCTTCTGGCCGTGGGGGACCTTGGGGGGCTTGTGGTCAGGGGTGGGGGCCGGGCCTGGGTGGGCCTTGCTCGCACAGTCCAGGTCAGGGATGGCCTTCAGCAGCTCCGCCTGTGTCTCCTCCAGCAGCCGATTGATGTCCTTGGCGCTATACTGGGTCAGGGCCGCCCGCTTCTCCTCCCAGTCCCGCTCAGCAGCCTTAAGAGGAGGGGGCAAGAGTCAGGACTACAGTGGCCGCCCGGCTCCTGGGCCTTGGGGGCCTCAGCCCCTTCCCCCAGGCACACATGCAAGGAATGGTAAAGAAAGCCCCACATTTGGCCCAGCCCCCCGGAGACCCGGGAACTTCTCCTTGAATATTACAAGCTTTCTCCATGAGCCTTTATAGACTACTCTCTGGACACACTTAGACCTGTTTCGGGACATTCTCTTTTGTTTCATTGATCACACAGTCTATTCTTATGCTAACGCCACACCGCTTTAGCTATTATGGCTTTATAATGTTTTTCTGACTAGTAGGCTGACCATCATCCTTAATATGCTTCTCAGACTTCCTCCTTCACCAGGAGGAATTACCCATGCCACGTCGGCACTTCCAACCTAGGATGGTGGGAAGAACCTGTGAGCCCAGCTGACCCCCTACCCCGGGCCCAGTACCTCCACAGACACAGCCTTGTCCACGCTTCTCTTGCCAAGAGCGTCCAGGCCTTTGGTGGGGTTGCCCCCCTTGGGGGTGGAAGGGGCTCCCTCAGCTGGTCCACTCAGCTCATGGAGGTTGAGCGGAGGGCTGGGGGGTGGCATTTCAAAGTCCAAGCTCTTGTTGAAGTCAGTCTCGGCGGTCACCTTCTTAGGGGACTGACTCAGGAGGTTGTTGGGGGGTGGCCACACACCCTCGTCCACTTGCCTGGGGTCGGAAGAGTTAGAAGCAGCTGTGAGACCAGCAGGGGGTGGGCCCACGGAAGGGAAGCCTGGCCTGAGGGAGGCGGGGTAAGAAGGGCCCTGGGTCTTGCAGGACAGAGGCGAGGGCCTGGGGAGGAGTGACCGCACCCAGCATTAGGGACAGACAAGCCTCGAACAGGTCAGAGTTGGGGTATAGCTCCAGCTGGACATCAGTGACCTTTAAAAGGGGAGTCCGGATAAGGGGTCAGGCTGATCTATCAATCTGGGCCCAGTGTGTGCCCCCGTGGGAAATCGGAGGTCAGAGGTCAGAGGCCAGGGGCAGAATGACCTTCGGATCTGGGCCAGCGTGTCTGTGACCCCGCGGCAGCGCTTGAGCAGCCCATCCAGGCGCTGGGGCTCCTCCTTCAGGAACTTCACGGCCTCCACCTCCACGCGCAGCACCACCCGCATCTTGCTCTGAAGGCCTGGGAAGTGAGCTGAGGGCACCGGGAGGAGTGAGCTGAGGGGGGAGCAGCTCAGAGGAGTGGGGGAATGGGCAGCAGAAAGGGCAGTGCTGGGTGGGAGGGAGGGAGTGGGGGGTGCAGCGGGGACGCCCACCTGGACCACGTGCCACATTCACCGGCCCCCAGCTCACCCTTGAGCTCGGTCAGTGTCTCCCCGAGCTGTTTCAGCACCAGCGCCTTCTCCTCCAGCTCGGGGCCCGGCACCAGCCGGTGGTTGTGGGAGACATCCCTCTGGATCTTCTCCACCGACTTCTCCAGGTCACTGCAGCCACAGAGAGACCCTCTCAGCCCCTGCTGGCCCCAGCCCCGCCCCCTGACATTGGGCAGCTGGAAAGAAATCAGGCCATCAGTCAGATCAAAATGAAAAGCCATCCACCAGGCCACGTGCCCAAGTGAAATCGGAAATGCCAGACCTCAGAGGTGAGACCTCAGAAGAGCTCCCTGACGGGGCCCCTGGATCTCCTGTTGAAGCTCCGGTCTTTAGCCACATCAGCTCAAACCTCCCTCCCGATAACTTGAACCTCCCATTCGCATTCTGCCAGGGAAGCAGCAGAGAACTTGGCGGCCTTGCAGAGCGCTAGCGGCAGCTACACGTGCCCCGAGGGGTCTCTTTTCTTGCAAGGTGGCACTGCCGTGTCCACCTACCTTTCTGCAAATGATCCAGACACTCAGCCTCTTTCTCTGAGGACAAAACTTCTTTTGATTTTCAACGGGCTTATGCTGAGCCTGTGTCGTTTTAAACCCCACATCTTTCTAAAATGTAAATCAGACCCAGCCACCACCCCGTGTTGAACCTTAAATGGATCCCATCGTTCTGCGGCTAAACGCCAAACTCTTCAAGGCAGTCAAGGAGGGCATGAGGGTAAGTAGTTGAAAATTTGGCTCCAGAGTCAGACAGACCCAAATCCCAATCCCAGCTCTGCCCACCCCCGCGGAGAGATCTTGGACAAGTTACAGACTCTCTCCAGGCCTCAGCCTCCTCATCCAAAAGATGGGGTGGTAAGAGCTCCTGCCTCCTGGGGCCATGGTAACGATTTCCAGAATTTCTCTGAGGTCCTTGCATGTGCTGCCCTCTCTGAGCTTTTTTTTTTTTTTTTGGTGCACCATTCCCGGAGGTACTGCAATACCGGGTCGATGCATGGAGTGGACGGAGCAAGCTCCTATTCCATCTCCCTGCTCCAAAAATCCATTTAATATACTTTCCTTGGATAGAGGATGTATCAGATATTAAACCGATACTACACTTGATCTTAGCCAAAAGGCCGAGAAGTGATCTCTGGGCTTTTTTTAATGCCATTTCCTCTGCTTAGAATATTCCATTCAAGCACACACACACACACACACACACACACACACACACCCAGACATGTGTGCACATACACATATACATGTGACTAATACACTTGTTCTCAGGCCTCAATGGGAACCTGTCCTTTACTCCTTACACCTGAGGTTGGGGGGTCTGCTTCCTGCCCCCCCCCCAGCCTCTGGGGCTCCTGTTCGCTGGACTGTGCAGCGCCAGGCAGGCAGAGCCGTGCCTTCCCGAGTCGTAGCCGATGCCCAGCACCTGGCAGGGTGCCTGGAGCAGAATAGCTTTCTAATAAATAACTGTGGGCTGAATGATTAAGTGAAGGAAAGAACTGTTGATCTCAGTGGGACCTGCAAAAAGGACTAAAAAAAGAAGAAAAAAAAAGAAAAAGAAAAAAGGAACAAGAAAGAAAGAACTGCCGCCCGGGTAGGTCACCTCAATTCTGTCCTCGAGTCACTGACATCCCTGACCCACATGCGGGACTTCACATGCTTCCCTGCCAAATCCCATCGGCTGGATTTCAGCTCCACCGTCCAAGTGGAGACAACTTCTGAACCTCAGTTCTCCCACCCGGCAGATCTGCTCGCCCTCAAAGCTCTGTCATCAGCAAATCTGATCAGCATGCCTTCTCCATCTTCATCCAACTAGTGGGTAAAAGACAGACGGCGCCGGCGCCCAGGATGAGTTCCTGTGACTCGGCATGGCCAGGGAAAGCGCTGGCGTGTCCCTAGCACTTCTTGTGTGCCAGGTGCACACTCAGCCCTCCCCTTTCGTTACCCGATTTCAGGGAGTTTTAACCTTTTCCATCTCGTGGCACACATACACTAATGACTGAAATGCTGTGGCACACCAACAAATGTATGATTCTGCCCATCTGACAAAAAATGGATAAAATTTTGATCCATTCACACCGGACGGCTATTTTTGTGTTGGCTGTTGTCATTTTTTTATTTGACAATCTAAGGGGAAAAGAAGTCAGCCCTCACACTGAAGAGTCTCGCGTTCGATTCTCGGTCAAGGCATGTGTGGGAGGCAACCAATCAATGTGTCTCTCTCACATCAGTATTTCTCTCTCTCCCTCTCTCTCTCTCTCTCTCTCCCTCCCTCCCTCCCTCCTTCTCTTCCTCTCTCCCTCCTTCCCACTCTCTCTAAAAATCAATGGAAAAAATACCCTCAGGTGAGGATTAACAACAAAACAAAAATAAGCCCGTGCCCCTGACTAAATAGTCAGGTATTGCATGTTTTAAAAATTCTTGCAGCACACCGGTTGAAAATCGCTGCCTTATTTAGTTCTCACCACAAATCCTGTGAGTGGGACCCATGATTATGTCCAATCTACACATAGATAAACAGTAGCTTAGACACCAGACAACACTTCCTAGCCTCCCTGGCAGTTAGAAGTGGCCGTAGACTGAGATTTAGCCGATGGCATACGAGTGAAAGGGGTACATGCTGTTTCCAGGCCTGGCTCACAAGAACCTCCCATGTAAGCTCTCCCGTGCTCTTTCCCCTTCACATTGGCTGAAAGGCAATGACCCTGTGGGTGATCTTGGAAGGCACATATTGAAGATGGCGAAACCTCCATTAGCCCGGGTCCCTGGGTGACTACATGAAGGAGGGCCATCCCACTAACCCACCCGATACTTTCCAGGAGAAAGAAAGACATGTCTATTACTTTTGAACCATTATATGATTTGTTACAGCAGCTACCCTAACTAATCAATTAGCCACCTCAACCGATACTACTGGCTTTGGCATTTTTATTAAAAAGAGGCTCCGGGAGATTAAGTAACGTATCATACAGCTATTTTGTGGCAAAGCAGGACCTACTCCTGTCTGACTTCAGCCTTTGGGTTCCAATGCATCTCCCACACTGGAGGACGCATAGTATTGGCCTTAACTTCCTGCAAGAGGCCAGGGCAAGAAGAAGGGGCAGAGGGGAGACAAGGAAGAGCAAGTGTGCAGGGGTAGGGAGGGGCCTGTCCACCTGATGCCTGGGGAGGCTCTGGGAGCTGGGCAGGGAGGGCCCTCATGGCCCAGCTGGAGCGACTGCAGGCCTGGTGTGCAGCGCAGCCAGGCACCACCCCAGAAAGGCAGGAACCCCCTTCAAAGGGTGGAGAAACCTGCCAGAAGCAATCTATCATCCCCCAAGTTCTCGCAAGAGAGCAGTGTGAGTGATAGGTTTGCTAACAGGGCAGGGGGTAGTGAGTCTGTGTGTTCCTGGAGAGCCAAGGGCCGCAGGAAGCTGAGGACCAGACACTCATATGACAAAGGCTTAAATCCATCCTTTCATTTCCTCTGCCTCTGTGCTTTTTTACTTCCTTTTATTTTCCTTTAATGTCTCAATAAAGTTGTGTTTTTTTAAAAATTCCAACCCAGCTCCTATGTGGTGAGTGAAAAGGGCAAAGAGAGAACAGAAAAGTCAGGTAACAGAATTCTCTGGGTTGGGCAGCTGCCCGGTCTACTTGGACATCGCACCTGAGCTGTCACTAAGCTTTCACACCTGGAGCGATGGGGGGCTGCAGCCAGCTTGTTTCCAAGTGGGATGACCCCTTATTTCATCTCAGCTCCAGGGGCATGGGGATCTTCGCATAGGTGCCACCAGGCTGTGTGGGCCCCAGGCTGAGGGGCAGGGGGACTTCTCAGGAGCCCCTTGCAAGAGGTACAATCAAATAGGACTTGGTGAGGACGCTGGGCTCCTCTGAGCAGCGTCTCCCAGCTCCCTGAGTCACTGTCCAGTTGAACCCATGCCCCCTCTGGAAAGAACTGCAAACATCTTAATACTTGGCACCGATGAGGAAGCCACAGCACAGAGAAGGGCTGAAACCGCCCCGATCACACCGCCTCTCAGTGCTGGAGCAGGACCTCAGGTCCCCTGTGCCCGGTGCCATCAGGAGGGAGGCCAGGGCAGGGCCTCTGTCTCTGACCAGGGAAGGCTGCAGTGGGGG